TTTTGAAACGGCTATAGATATCCTTGAATTTGTCACTGACTTCAACGCGAACTTAATTTTAATGCAATTTAACTGAACATTGAGTACAGTATTCAGTAGATTATTACACTCCAAATGCCTATCAATTGAGCGATTATTAGATTTTTTTTCAGTAGAAAATGCACTAAAAAAATTAATTTATAATTTAAACAAATAATAAAAACATCGACAAAAATATATCGGATAAGTATTATACTAGTATAAGATAATTTAATAAATTACTTATTGTATAACAAAATTAAGTAGCGCACTAATAAAAATATATATATATATAAACTTATTTATAGAAATTAATTATTACTGTAAGTCACAAAACTTAATGTCAAATAGTTTTGCAAAGTGCTCAGTGTCTTTTTCTTTTGAGAAATATTTTTAGTTTTATTGTTTTTATTACATCCATTTCCCCTTATATTACGCGAATAAAGTGATGTTTGACTGGAATTTCATTACAAACACACCGTATATCTCACGAATGAGTCGATCAATCATTCATAGCATTAAAAATTAATAAAATCAATAGAAAAGCAATACTTTGACAGCAAAAAAAGGCATTGAATTTAATTCACATACCCGTAGAGAATGGTATCAAAGCATCCGTTTTGATCACTTCGCGGCCATCATCGGTGAGAAAGCGATTGGGATTAAACTTATCCGGATTATCCCACACTTTGTGGTCGTGATGAACGGCCCATATATTAGATAATATTCTGGTGTTTTTTGGTACGAAATGCCCTAAAATGGATGAGTCCTCTACTGAGCTATCAAATCGATTATTTAAACAAATAGATAATGAGTTTAAATAACAAATTGTCGTAATTCTCGTCTACCGTCTCATTAGGTTTAACGGGAAAAGAGTTTTGTATCGAAACGACTCGTTAATGAACGCCTGAGTGAACGGCATATGAAGTCTGTCGGCATAACAGGGACTCCGATCTCTTCCGACCACAGAATCGATCTCTTCGTGAATCCTCTTCTGGTGT